CCCGGGATTATGACCTGAGTCAAAGGCAGACATTTAACGACTGGGCCACCCAAGCGCCCCATCTTTCATGACTCCTAAAGGTTCATGTAGCCTGTATTACTGTCCCATTTCTTTTCCAACTCCCCTGGCTTTTATTTCCCAAATTGCTCCATAGTCAGCCTCTTCCAGGAAGTGTCTCTTGGCCAATACCTCTTTCTCAGTTTATACTCACACCTCCTCTTCCAAAGTAATGATGTCTTAATGTATATCTAGTTCTGAATTCCTCCTATTTCAACCCATTTTTCTTCTCATGCACAGTATCAATTCTCTCTCCCCAAAGAATCATAGATATTCTCACAAGGTTTTTGCACCAGTCCCCCAAAGAACTACCTAAAGGAATAGGTAAGTATATGGGTAATCTTGCCTCTGGCAGGCTTCCCTGCAGACACCTACATCCTTTGGGAAGATGAGAAATTCAGCAAGTGAGAAAGTATCTTCCCTCCCACCCTCCCTCCTGGGACAAGCTCCATGCATAAAGACAATAGAAAAACACTGGCCCTCCTGTATAGGTATAAAAGTGACTGGATCAAGAAGAATGCCAGTGTTGTGCCCACACTGGAGCCCGTCTCACCCTCAGGGATTCCCTGGAGTCAGGTAGAACTGGTTGGGTCTTCTATCAATTTCACTCCTTCTATCACCTCCCCAGATTCCATGGGAAGAGATGGAGCAGGACCAGAGGATGTCATGTCAGGAATTCTCCTGCCTCAGGGCTGTATTTTCCCTGTTGCTCTTTGAATGAACAACGCTGTTCTTACTGTTGGATCCAGAGGAAATACAGAACTTACTTCTTGTCCTAAGCAAGACTCCACAGGGATGGAACAGACAGGACAGTTACCATAACTCAGGCATAGCCACACAAAGGCAAAAATATAGGCGCCTGGGTACAGCTCTAGATGCTGGGTACAGACAGCTCTGGATGGGGAGACATGCTGTTTGCCAAGGAAGTCTCCCAGAAGATAGTTTTAAAGGACCAGCATACTGCTAGTGAAAGGAAGGAGAATCTTCTGTGCCAAAGAAATGTGTAAGGCTCAATTCAATTTAAGATGAATTTATTAACTGCTCATTATGTGCCTGGCCTCCAGCTGGATGCTCTGGGGCAGTGAGCAAGATACACTCCTTATGTATGATCTATAATCAGAAACAAAAAAAAAAAGAAAGAAAGAAAGAAAAGAAAGACACACAGATTCATTGAAGTAAAGCTGACATATAAAGTTGTAAGATATTTGAAGTGTACATAGTGTAAATTTGATATACATATAATTGTGAAATTATTCATTATGATTTGCTCACTAGAAAGCATTAACGATGGTATTTTAATCTACACGTTTCATTAAATGAAGGTGAGTGAACAAAGGGCACTTTTGTTTCCCTCACTTCAACTTTAGGCATGAAGAGGCTTCAGCTGGAGCTCTGGTTTTCAAAGTGGGACAAGTGGCATCAGTATCTCCTGGGAACTTGTTAGAAGTACAAGCTCTGGGCCCCACCCAGATCCACTGAATTCCAACAATGGGGTTAGGGACCCAGAAATCTGTCTCCACAAGCCCTCCAGGTGTCATGGCACCCCCTGAGGTTCGAGTACCACTGAGCAGGATACTATTCCTGGCCACTCTCCACAGGACCCTCTCTCACTGGGACCTTGATTAATGAAGTGAAGACATAACACTGAGCATACCCAGTTAGCTTCTTCCAATTTTTGTTGCTTTTCTTTTTTAGTCCAGAACAAAACTGCCCACTGGATATATGCGATCCAACCTGATCATACAAGAGAAAAAGTAATTAAAGAAGTTCCTCTCCTGTGGTGGTAGGCCAGGGACACTCAGCACTGCTTGTGATGAGAAGTCTGTCAAAGGCAGTGATGACAGATTAGCAAGCCAAGTAAGCTGCAGATCTACAGCTGATGGTTTATTCATCTGTCTCTATGTCATGATTATCAATGAGTTCCAAACACAGGAGGGGGAAACGGGGTGTTATTTATTGGACTTCTACAGCTCCAACAATGGGTTGTAGTGAAAAGTAGGCAGGATGCAGGTTCAGATCATGTGTAGGAAGGAGACCTAGTTAAGAGAATAACAGGACAGAAGAACCAGAGGAAATCCTAGAATTTTCTAAGGAAACAGAATTTTAGAAATGATCAGTTGTGACCTCTCCTATTACAGATAAATAAGCAGAGCATGGAGGGAACTAAGCAGCTTCCTCAAGGTCACATTGTTAGTTAGTGGTGGAAACGGGAAGAGAATCCAGGACCCGTGGCTCTCAGCTGTGCACTTTCTGAGCAGGTGGACCAAAGGAGACAATAGCAGAGAAACTTTAAAGTCCAAGAATGAAGATATGGCCAAGTAGAAGAAACAATCCCAAGATTTTTAGTTCAAGATAAAGCTCTGGCTCCAGTCACCTGTGCATGCTCTGTTGTCCCCTCACACAGCCAAGGCTCAAGCTACACAGCCTGCTCAGTGCGCTCTGAACACAGCTTCCTTTTCCTGTGCTTTTCCTTTGTTGTTCTCTCTGCCTACCATTTATCTCTCCCTGCTGCACATGTGTGGCAAATCCCATCCCTGAAGAGAGCCAGCTCAAATGCCATTCCTGTACAATGTCTTCTCTGATTTCAACAATCAACACTCACCTCTATACCCACCACAAATGATCATCCTCCACTCTGAATTCCCAAGACACATGACTTACTTGTACATTACTTATGACAACATGTTCTATTTTGTGTTATAGCTATGCTTTATCCTTGTGTTAGGATATCAGCTTCTTATGTGAAGGGGCTATATTTCATATTTTTTGGTCTTTTTCTAGCTTCTTTCATTTTTTTTTGAAATGAAACATAACACACCATGTTGTTTGTTACTCTCATGTGTACAATACAATTGAACAATTCCACATATTTCTCAGTGCTCATCAAGATTAGTGTGCTCTTAATTCCCTTTATTTAAGTCATCCGTTCCCCTACCCATCTCCTCTTTGGCAACCACCATTTTTTTCCCCTGAATTTAATGGTATGGGTGTTTTTTGTTTGTCTCTCTTTTTACTTTCTTCTTTTTATTTATTTTTTATTTCTTGAATTCTACATAAGAGTGAAAACATATGGCATTTATTTTTCTCTGAGTGATATAGTTCAATTAGTATTATACCCACCTGGTCCCTCCATGTTTTTCAAATGGCAAGATACATTCTTCTGTATGGCTGAGTAATGTGTGTGTGTATATATATACATATATATGTATATATGTATATATATCTCACATATTCTTTATCTTTTCATCTATCAATGGCTACTAGGGTTGCTTCCAAGCCTAGATATTGTAAATAGCGCTGCAAAAAACACAAGCGTGCATATATCTTTTCAAATTCACGTAACTAAAACTCTTTCACACAGAAAAGGAAACCATTGACCAAAAAAGGCAACCTACTGAATGGGAGAAGATATCTGCAAATGATATATTAATAAGGAGTTAATATTCAAAATACATAAAGAACATACACAACTCAATAGGAAAAAAACCACAAATAATCCAATTAAAAAATAAGCAGAGGACCTGAGTAAATATTTTTCCAAAGAAGACATACAGATGGCCAACAGATACATGAGAAGATGCTTAGCATTACTAATCCATCAGGGAAATATGAATTAAAACTGCAATCAGATATCACTTTATACCTCTTAGGACAGCTAAAATAAAAAAGACAAGAAAAACAAGTGTTGGCAAAGATATGGAGAAAAGGGAACCCTCATGCACTGTAGGTGAGAATGTCAAATGATGCAGGCATTATGGAAAACAGTATGGATGTTCCCCAGAAAATTTAAAAGAGAGCTACCATATGATCCAGTAACTCTGCTACTGGATATTTTCTTAAATAATATCTTCAGCCAATGTGGAGCTCAAACTCACCAGCATGAGGTCAACTGTCATTCTCTACTGACTGAGCCAGCTAGTCAACTCCTTCACTAGTGGATATTTAACCAAAAAAAAAGGAAAAAACTCTTCAGATTGTTTTTCAGAGTCCATAGTCTCTCATTGTTCACCTCCCCTTCCAATTTCCCCCAACTCCCTTCTCCTAACTCCCCATGTCCTCCATGCTATTTGTTTGAAGAGGTGGGGGGTGGGAGGTTGGGGGAACCAGGTGGTGGGTATTAGAGAGGGCACAGATTGCATGGAGCACTGGATGTGGTACAAAAACAATGAATACTGTTATGCTGAAAATAAATTTTTAAAAAATGATTAAAAAAAAGGAAAAAATTTTTTCAAGTTTTTTTTTCTTTTTTTTATAAAAGATTTTATTTGTTTATTTGACAGAGAAAGAGAGCACAAACAGGGGGAGCAGCAAAGGGAGAGGGACAAGCAGGCTCCCCACTGAGCAAGAAGCCCAATGATGCAGGGTTGAAATCCAGGGTCTGAGATCATGACCTAACCCAAAGGTAGATGCTTAACTGAATGAGCCACCCAGGAGCCCCTCAAGTTTCTTTTAATACTAATTTTGTAAAAGCCAGTAAGCAGCTATAGACACAATTGAAAAGCAGAAAGAAGGAGGAGGAGGAGGGGAGGAAGGAGGAGGAGAAGAAAAGGAGGAGAAGAATGGGAACAAGAAGGAGGAGGAGAAGGGAGAGAAGGAAAAGGGGGAGAAGGAGGAAGAGGGGGAGAAGGAGGGGGAGAGGAGAAGGAGGAGGAGAAGGTGGAGGAGGAGAAGGGGGTTGGGGAAGAGAAAGAGGAGGAGGAGGAGAAGAAGAAGGGGGAGGAGGAAGAGGGGGAGAAGAAGAAGGAGAAGAGGAAGAAGAAAGAGCAAAGACACAACCTTCACTGTACTATAAATACAGAGCTCTATTAGTGTTTCCCCACCAATATCTCATTGGGGCCCTAGATTTCCAAGTGCTTGAGAATACTTTCCATTATTTTGTAGGGGGACCAGACTGCATTCAGGTGTGATGATATCAATCCAAATATGTACTTGCAGTGATGAATTCAAGGTCTATAGTTTGGGCCCTTAAAACTGTGCTGGATCCCATAGCTCAAGTAGATAACAAACCCAGTCAACATCCAGATACCATACCGGGCCCAGGTGGAAGCTGACATCTGCATCATAAGGCAAACATTCACAAAGATGCTCAGGAGTGGGAGGAGAGGCAGAGAAGGGACCTTAAAGGGAAGGGGAGTGGAGCTCTGTGGCTGTCTCCAGATGACCCCAGTGATTCCAGTGATGAACACCAGAAGCAGCACAATCACTGTGATTGGTATTGGGTCTCCAGAACGCAGACCTGGCCAGTGAGCCAGCACCAGGCAGAGAAGAGTCAGCAACAGAGCAAGCAGTGAGGAGCAAACATAGACAACCCGGCCAGAGAGTGGAGTGGGGGTGGGGCTGCCTGGAAAAAATAGTCTCCTTAGAGTTAGCTTCTCTGCGGCAGGTGTGGTCTCCTGCATCTGTGTTTCATTTTCCTCATTCTTCCTCTCAGGCCAATACCTGATGATGAGAACACAAAGAGCTACCAGGGAATAAGATACCAGAGTGCCAACTGACCTGAGATCCACAAGATCAGTGAATCCAAAGAAGAATGCCATAATTGCTGCAATAATGACAAAGATCATAATGGACATGATGGAGGCATATGTGGCAGTAAGGATCTTAGAAAACACTGGGAACAGGAGGCGATCTTCTGCCATCATGTGTATCACCCACTGTATGGGGAAAATAAAGCCCCAGTAGATACCTACAAAAATACTACAGAAAATTGCAAAAGATACAGTGAGGTAGGCAGGGACCCAGCCAATATGGAGAAATGCTTCAGGCAAGCTGCTCCCAGATCGAAGCTGGTAGTAAGGAACCATGAGTGTAAGTGCTGCAGAGACACCAAAATACACAAAAATGCAGATGAGCAGTGAAATTACAATGCCCCTGGGGATGGAACGCTCAGGATTGTGTGATTTTTTGACTCTGGTAACAATAATGCCAAAACCTATAAATGCATAGAAACAGGTAGCTGATCCACGGAGAATCCCCTGGAAGCCAAAAGGCATGAATCATCCAGAGCCCAGAGGGCCCAACTGAGAGGTGCCATTGAGTCCAGCCTGTATATAGTCCTCCTCTGTGAGCTTCCAGTTGTGCAGGTCCCCTTTAATGAAGCCAGAGATGATGACAAAACTGAGAACCAAAATTTTCACCAATGTGAACACTTTGAAAATTATGAAGAACCAACTATGATTCAGACTTTGAATTTCTGTGAGAAACAACAGAAAGACCACCGCAAAGTAGCCTAGATTGTCTGCAAAGACTTGGGGAACATGCTGTGAGATGCTCTCATGCTGAGAATCAGAAACTCGGTTCCCAATCAAGTTGTCAAAAATTAATGTCCAGGACTGGATCACAATGAATGCATCCTCAACAAGGGAGAGGATGAGATTCCAACCAGAGATGAAAGCCCAGAGTTCACCTACAGTAACATAGCTGTAGAGATATGCTGAGCCAGAATAGGGAACCCTGGCACTAAACTCCGCATAGCACAGTCCAGCCAACAATGAAGTCAGGCCTGCCACCAAAAAGAAGATCACAGTAGATGGTCCTGCTTGATTACTGGCTACCTCATTAGCCAGGAAGTACACACCAACACCCACTGTGCGGCCCACACCCAGGGCCACTAAATCCAAACTGCTCATTCTTCTTCCAAATGGAAACTCAAGCACTTCTTGTTCCAGCAGACGTTTGTGTACCAACTTGTGACCAACTCTACGAAGTGCCTGACGCAGCATTCTAGCTGGAATTGAAGAAGATTCTAAGGATCAGAGAGCTGTAGCAAGCCCGAGGAGCCAAGAGTGTTTGATCTGGATCAGTGAGGCTGAGTTAAGCCAAGGTGCTGAGGTCTGCTGCTCAGGCTTCAAAGTTGCTGCTTCATATTTCTTCAGTACCTGCTATCCTTCCATAATTCCTAGGGGAACAATAAATATTTACTGAACAATGGTGTTCAACCAATCAGCTGAAGCTCCAAAGTCACACATAACTTGTTGCAGCTCAAGTAATAAAGAAATGACACCAAAAGACATCATAGAAAAATCAATCCTATTTTCCACCCAGTAAAAGTACCAAATACTCCCAAGATTCTGCTTTATTTTTAAATTTTATTTTTCAGTAGGCTCAACGCCCAGCCTGGACCCCAACCTGGGGCTTGAATTCACAACCCTGTGATCAAGACCTGAGCAAATATGAAGGGTCAGACTCAACCCAGGCACCCCAACATTCTCTTTATACACCACATGACATAATCTCATTTGAGTTCAAAAGTCATGTAGCTTCACGTATTAATTGGTGTTGGGGCCCATTCCATGTTAAAACCTGTTAAACCCCTAGGGCCTGCCTGGGCCTGCTTAGCCAGAGTGACTCCATGTTGCCTAAGTAGCCATTTTGTTGTTTAATAAATGCCTCAGCAGTTACTGGTATCGGTTCTGGGTAACCGTTGCTAAAACACACACCTAAAATAAGGCCAGACAGGTAGGAGACATCCAATCAGCCAAAGCCACATATGTAGAGGTCTGTGGTTGTGCCCTATAAAACTAGCCTGTAAGACCAAGGGGTGGTCGTTCTCTTCAGAGGTGGCCCTGGCCAGTCAGTCTCACTTCTAATGCTTGGCATAGAAAAAAGCTTTGCATAACTTTCACTTTGTCTCAGTCTCATTCCTTTGATAATGGACCATATCTATTGGGTGGTAAAACACAACAGGGCATGACGGTATTTTCCAATAATTCACAGGCAGGTTGGGTGTAGTGCTTGAGTTATGACACATAATTCATGAAGGGCTTGTTGCAATTACAGACCCATTTTTTTATGTATCACCTGAATTTAAAATACAAATATTGGTCTCTCAGTCTTAAAACTCTTAGGCCCAAGGTTAGAATCACTTAGGCCCCCTTTTTCCTCATTCTGCATCATCCATTCAGCAGTACTGATGGCCAAGAAATGTCCACCCCTTCTCTTTACCCACTAGGCCAACAGGGGTGCTGTGAACAGAGAGGATGGGGTAGAAAGGGGCAGGGCCTTCATAACCACCTGCAAGAAGGAGAGGAATAGGCTGTTCTGTAAAAAAATATTGGAGAAATGAGGGCAGCAGCCAACCCAGGGTCCATGACTGAGATGGGAGAGGAGGCAGGAAGGCTATTTTGTGAAATTTGACATTCAGTAAACGTCACCAAAATAACCAAATAAATATTCACTACCTTTTTTATGTCCACAGGTATGACAGTGTGATGGGCAAGAAGAAAAGAAACAAGTCACCTAGCTCAGTAGCTCAAAACCAAAACAATTCCTTCTGTCTCCTCCCTCTCTGAGTTCCAGGACAGAAAGTCAACTTACTTCAGCAGACAGTCTCCTCACTGGCGATACTGTGCTCTCTGTACACCCTGTGCTATCTGGGTTGTCAGCTGCCAGGAGCCTGGAGAATCTGCCCTATTCTGTGAGCCTTTGGCTCAGGTCCTGATCCAAGGTCCTGGCATCAAGTCCCATGTTGGGCTCCCTGCTCAGTAGGGAGTTTGCTTCTCCCTCTACCTTTGCTCCTCCTCCCAACTGGCTCTCTAAATAAATAAATAAATATCTTAAGAACAATATACTCAATTTTAACCCCCTATGAATTTTTCACAATAAGTTATTTTTTAATTTTAATTTTTTCATTTCTTTTCAGTGTGCCATAATTCATTCTTTATGCACCACACCCAGTGCTCTATGCAATACGTACCCTCTATAATACCCACCACCAGACTCACCCAACCTCTCACCCCTGTCCTCTCCAAAGCCCACAGTCTCTCAAGGTTCATCTCCCCCTCCAATTTACCTCAACTCCCTTCTCCTCTCCTTCTCCCCATGTCCTCTGTGTTATCCCTTATGCTCCACAAATAAGTGAAACCAGATAACTGACTCTCTCTGCTTGACTTATTTCACTCAGCATAATCTCCTCCAGTCCTGTCCATGTTGATACAAAAGTTGGGTATTCATCCTTTCTGATGGAAGCATCATATTCCATAGATTATATGGACCATATCTTCCTTATCCATTCATCCGCTGAAGGGCATCTTGGTTCTTTTCACAGTTTGGCGACTGTGGCCATTGCTGCTATGAACATTGGGATACAGAGGACCCTTCTTTTCACTACATCTATATCTTTGGGGTAAATACCCAGTACTGTAATTGCAGGGTTATAGGGTAGCTCTATTTTTAATTTCTTAAGGAATCTCCACACTGTTTTCCAAAGTGGCTGTACCAACTTGCATTCCCACCAACAGTGTAAGAGGGTTCCCCTTTCTCCACATCCTCTCCAACACATGATGTTTACTGTCTGTTAATTTGGACCCTTCGAACTGGTGTAAGGGTATCTCAATGTGGGTTTGATTTGAATCTCCCTAATGGCTAGTGATGATGAACATTTTTTCATGTGTCTGTTCATGTCTTCTGCCCATTTTTTCACATGATTATCTGTTTTGTGTGTGTTGAGTTTGAGGAGTTTTTTTATAGATCTTGGATATCAACCCTTTGTCTGTACTGTCATTTGCAAATATCTTCTCCCATTCCATGGGTTGCCTCTTTGTTTTGTTGACTGTTTCCTTTGCTGTGCAGAAGCTTTTGAGCTCTTGATCTTAATGAAGTCCCAAAAGTTCATTTTTGCTTTTGTTTCCTTTGTCTTTGGAGACATATCTTGAAAGAAGTTGCTGTGGCCGAAGTCGAAGAGGTTACTGCCTATGTTCTCCTCTAGGATTCTGATGGATTCCTGCCTCACATTGAGGTCTTTTATCCATTTTGAGTTTATCTTTGTGTATGGTATAAGAGAATGGTTGAGTTTCATTCTTCTACATATAGCTGTCCAATTTTCCCAGCACCATTTATTGAAGAGACTATCTTTCTTCCACTGGATTTTTCCTGCTTTGTCAAAGATTAGTTGACCATAAAGTTGAAGGTCCATATCTGCCCTCTCTACTCTATTCCACTGGTCTATGTGTCTGTTTTTATGCCAGTACCATGCTGTCTTGGTGATCACAGCTTTGGAGTAAAGCTTGAAATCAACGTGATGCCCCCAGTTTTGTTTTTCTTTTTCAAAATTTCCTTAGCAATTTGGGGTTTCTTCTGATTCCATACAAAATTTTGGATTGTTTGCTCCAGCTCTTTGAAAAATGCCAGTGGAATTTTGATCAGAATGGCATTGAAAGTATACATTGCTCTGGGCAGTATAGACATTTTAACAATGTTTATTCTTCTAATCCATGAGCATGGAATGGTCTTCCATCTTTTTGTGCCTTCTTCAATTTCTTTCATGAGTGTTCTCATGTACTGTTCCACGAGTACAGATCCTTTACCTCTTTGGTTAGGTTTATTTCCAGATATCTTATTGTTCTTGGTGCTATAGTAAATGGGATCGATTCTCTAATTTCCCCTTCTGTATTTTCATTGTTAGTGTATAAGAAAGCAACTGATTCCTTTACATTGACTTTGTATCCCGCCACATTACTGAATTGCTGTTCTAGTAGTTTGGGGGTGGAGTCTTTTGGGTTTTCCATATAAAGTATCGTGTCTTCTGTGAAGAGAGAGAGTTTGACTTCTTCATTGCCAATTTGGATACCTTTTATTTCTCTTTGTTGTCTGATTGCTGTTGCTAGGACTTCTAATACTATGTTGAACAAGAGTGGTGAGAGTGGGCATCCTTGTCGTGTTCCTGATCTCAATGGGACGGCTGTCAGCTTTTTCCCATTAAGGATAATATTTGCTGTGGGTTTTTCATAGATAGATTTTATGAAGTTGAGGAATGTTCCCTCTCTCCCTATACTTTGAAGCGTTTTAATCAGGAATGGATGCTGTATTTTGTCAAATGCTTTTTCTGCATCAATTGAGAGGACCATGTGGCTCTTCTCTCTTCTCTTATTGATTTGCTCTATCACATTGATTGATTTGCGAATGTTGAGCCATCCTTGCCACCCAGGGATGAATCCCACCTGGTCATGGTAGATAATTTTTTTAATGTGCTGTTGGATCCTGTTTGCTAGGATCTTGTTGAGAATCTTAGCATCCATATTCATCAATGATATTGATCTGAAATTTTCCTTTTTGGTGTGGTCTTTGCCTGGTTTGGGGATCAGGGTAATGCTGGCTTCATGAAAAGAGTCTGGAAGTTTTCCTTCTGCTTCAATTTTTTGAAACAGCTTCAGGAAAATAGGTATTATTCCTTCTTTGAATGTTTGGTAGAATTCCCCAGGGACTCCGTCAGGTCCTGGGTTCTTGTTTTTCAGGAAGATTTTGATCACTGCTTCAATCTCATTACTAGATATTGATCAATTCGGGTTGTCAATTTCTTCCTGATTCAGTTTTGGAAGTTTATAGTTTTCTAGGAATGCATCCATTTCATCTAAATTGCTTAACTTATTGGCATGTAACTGTTGATAATAATTTCTGATGATTGTTTCCATTTCCTTGGTGTTGGTCATGATCTCTCCCTTTTCACTCATAATTTTATTAATTTGGGTCTTCTCTCTTTTCTTTTGGATCAGTTTGGCCAGTGTTTTATCGATCTTATTGATTCTTTCAAAAAAACAGCTTCTAGTTTCATTGATGTGTTCTACTGTATCTTTAGTTTCTATCTCATTGATCTCTGCTCTAATCTTGACTGTGTCCATTCTTGTGTATGGGGTTGGCTTAATTTGTTGTTGATTCTCCAGTTCTTTAAGATTTAAAGAGAGCTGGTGTATTCTGGATTTTTCCATTTTTTTGAGGGAGACTTGGA